AACACAAATTAAATGAAACAGATGGATTCTGGGTCAGGCTTGAGCATGCTTCAGACTTGTGGTGTGAGCGAGCGAAATTGGAGCGGGACATAGGGCGACGCTCTGTCCTTTTAAAAATGCCGCTCTGCGCTCTGTTCAAAATCCGTCCGCTCACGCTCCACGCTCGCTCCCGCTCCACTCCGCTCATATGCTCTGGAAGAGAATAGTTATGCAGAAGGTGATGTATGTTTGTGCACATGAAAGTCAGTGATTTTATGTTTACTAAACGTTAATCATAATTTTGACAATAACTAGACCTAAACATTATTCAAATGACAAAAATGTGACTTTATGATATTTTATTCAAAGTGACTAAGACTACACTAAATAAAAAAGAATGCCAAAATGACACTAGTTTGGATAGGAAGAAACACTGTGCTGCTCTATTCATTGACTTATCTAAAACGTTTGACACTGTCGACCACTCTTTACTAATTCAAAGGTTTTCTGAAATTGGCCTGGATCAGGCGTCATGTAGGCTACTAAAGATAACGTTAGTAGTATTGTTAGCTATAGACTGGGTCATTCTAGATAGTTTTAGAGAGCGACTAAACTTATTTTATTAAGTGCTTTTCATTAACACATTGGCCTACCTTGTTTTCCATGAAAAGTTGTCTTTGCTCTCTCGTGAGGCAGAACCAGGCAGGCAGGAGAGGAAGGTTGTCACTAGTTACCACAGCCACCACAATGTCAAAATTGGCTATATTGTAAAAAATGTGTCTCTGTAGGCTGTACCTAAGAGACCACTGTGACTGACAAGTGAATCCACCTATAGCAGCGAGCATGGGGGTTAACGTGTGAAATACCAGGGACAGGATTGTATTCACGTGACGAAACAGAGGAAAGTGGGCTGAAATTGGGGGATGTAGTATGTGAACTTGTCCAATAAGAAACACCTGCTTTCTTTTCTGTTGCGAAACGTTTGAATACGTTTTTCTATGACGTGAACTAATTAATATATGTGGTAAATGCGTTCGATGTGGCGGCGCCGCCACACCAGATTGTAAAAATACTGGGGCAAATGCTGTCTCACCACACATTTTCCGGCAGCTCTGGTTTAAAATCTACCTGACAGATAGGACACAGTGTATTTTCTGACATTGTTAAGTCGAGTTTCCTTGATATTAAGAAAGGTGTCCCACTGGGGTTGGTTTTAGGTCCTGTAATTTTTACTGTCTATATAAATAATATTGGTCTATCTGCAAAAAAAAATTACATACACCTGTATGCAGATGGCACTGTTGTGTATGCTATTGCCCCCACTGTTGACCAGGCTTTTTCGGAGCTGAAAACTGCCTTTGTTGCTTTGCAGAAAGCCTTTGTTGAACTGAAATTGTCACTTTATACATTTAAAACAAAGAACATTATGTTTTCCAATTCACCTAAAAATGTATCTGATGATTTATGCATGTGTACATTGGATAGTGCCCACATTGATCGTGTCCCCTCTTTTATAAATATCTGGGAATCTGGATTGACGATAAGTTTATCTTTACCTGTGTCACGATCGTCTAATGAGGAGGACCAATGCGCAGCGTTGAAGGTGAACATATTATATTTATTAAATGATCACACGATCAAAACAATAAACAACGATGCGTGACGTCTATGGTTACAACACGAACAACACGAACAAAATCCCACAAACCCGAATGAAAAACAGACAGTTTAAATATGGCTCCCAATCAGAGACAACCAACGAACAGCTGACACTCGTTGCCTCTGATTGGGAGTCACTAAGGCAAACATAGAAAACAACAAACCAGAACCCCCAACATAGAAACACACCAAATAGAACAAACACACCCTGGCTCAACAACTAGAGTCCCATTGCCAGGGTGTGACAGTACCCCCCCCTAAAGGACTGCGACCGTGCCTCAAAAAGAGCAACACAGGGGAGGGCTGGGTGGGCATACCTCCTCGGCGGCGGTTCTGGCTCCGGTCTTGACCCCCACTCCTTCTCCAACCCCCCCCCCCCAAGTACCCCTGGTCCGGTCCGGCCCTGCTGGCCGGAGCTGGATCGAACACTGGTGGAGCGGATCGCTCCAGCTCCGACGTGAAGCCTCTGACCGGTGCCGGACCAGCCACCGGTGGAACAGGCACGGGCCGTGCCGGACTGACGACGCACACCACTGGCTTGGTGTGGGGAGCAGGAGCGGGCCGAGCCGGGCTGTCGAAGCGCACCCCTGACCTGGTGCAGGGAGCAGGAACGGGCCGAGCCGGGCTGACGAAACGCACCACTGACTTGGCGCGGGGAGCAGGAACGGGCCGGACCGGGCTGACGACGCGCACCACTGACTTGGTGCGGGGAGCAGGAATGGGCCGGACCGGGCTGACGACGCGCACCACTGACTTGGAGCGGGGAGCAGGAATGGGCCGGACCGGGCTGACGACGCGCACCACTGACTTGGTGCGGGGAGCAGGAATGGGCCGGACCGGGCTGACGACGCGCACCACTGACTTGGTGCGAGTGGCAGGAACAGGCCGGACCGTACTGGGAACACACACCACTGGCCCTACGTGGGGATCAGGAACAGGCCGGACTGGCAACACACGCCAGTACCTCTCGCCGTGCCTCTACAACCTCCTTCCCCCTGGTGACCAGTGACTCCCGTAACCTGGCCTCCTCCTCTGCCAATCCGCTGGGCCGCTCTGCCGCGGTGTCCTGCTGGCCCGTCGTCCACGGCGTTAGCCCCCCCCTAAAAATGTTCTGGGCGTCTCCCCTACCCGTGGACCAGGTCTCCATGTCCCTCGCCAGCCTTTCTGCCACAAGGTCAAGCCCTTCTCCTCCTCACTCGGCTTGACCCAGTCGAGGAGGCGAAGGAGATCTGTTAGGGATCTCCCTGGCGATGGCTCCTGGACACGCTGCTTGGTCACATCTTGGTGGGATTTTCTGTCACGATCGTCTAATGAGGAGGACCAATGCGCAGCGTTGAAGGTGAACATATTATATTTATTAAATGATCACACGATCAAAACAATAAACAACGATGCGTGACGTCTATGGTTACAACACAAACAAAATCCCACAAACCCGAATGAAAAACAGACAGTTTAAATATGGCTCCCAATCAGAGACAACCAACGAACAGCTGACACTCGTTGCCTCTGATTGGGAGTCACTAAGGCAAACATAGAAAACAACAAACCAGAACCCCCAACATAGAAACACACCACATAGAACAAACACACCCTGGCTCAACAACTAGAGTCCCATTGCCAGGGTGTGACAACCTGCCAGTACTAGACTACGGTGACACCATTTATATGAATGCAACTGCCACTACACTGAAACCATTAGATACAATTTAGAACAGCACACTTTGCTTTATTATGGGTGACAGGTTCAGTACACATCATTGCATCCTATATCAGAAAGTAGGCTGGCCCTCTCCTAAGACGTGTAGATCAATACACTGCTCTCTTTTTGTTTATAAAGCCCTCTTGTGCAAACTTCCGTCATACTTTACCTCATTGTTAAATTACAGACATACGAGTTACCAGACCCAATCACAGGGATGGCTTACTCTAGATGTCCTGTTGATCACTACGGAAATAGGAAAATTTGCATTACGTTTTTTTGCGCCCCATGTATGGAATGATCTGCAGAGCTCTCTGCACCTTGATACTCTTGTGCCTCAGGTTGTACATTTTGTATAATTTGTGTACCTACAGGGCTGTCTTGCAAAATAGGTTTTGGTCTCAATGGGATTTCCTTGTTAAAATAAAGCTACAGAAAAATTAAGTAATTAAGGATTGTGTTGTTGTTTTTTATGATGGCATTTCAGTGATTGTGCCAGTAACAGCAGAAGAATAATTTGCTGAGACAGTCTTTATTAGTGTACACTCTTAGAAAAAAAGGTGATATCTAGAACCTTAAAGGGTTCTTCGGCTGTCCACATAGGAGAACCCTTTTTGGTTCTAGGTAAAACCCTTTTTGGTTCCAGGTCGAACCCTTTTGGGTTCCATGTAGAGCCCCCTGGGGTAAGGGTTGTACATGGAACCCAAAAGGGTTCTATCCTGAAACCAAAAACGGTTCTTCAAAGGGTTCTCCTATGGGCACAGCAGAAAAACCCTTTAAGGTTCTAGATATCACCTTTTTTTCTAAGAGTGTACACACTGTTCTCCTATATGGACAAACAAATTCATAGAGCTACCAGTCCTGTATTTTCTTTCCTAACCGTCACCATCACATCAGGCCTTTACAGTTTTTCTCGATCGCTAAGAGTTTTTCATTGAAACTTTTAATGAAACCTATCTCCATTATAACCTAATGAGCACAACCGTATAATTTTTTGCAAAACTGTAAGTCATTTCTAATTGCTGTCACACAAAATGCAAATGCTAAACACGTTTTTGTAAAACCGTAAACACATCTCTTTACAAAAGACGCAAAACTCAGTTGAGTAAATCATGTCAAACAAAATGAAAACACTTGAGGACAGCTGATACAAATCACGCCCATGAATGTGAACCTCTTCTGCACGCGTTCAAAACTTATTTGCACAATTGTTCAATCAGCAACCAGGAGATTTTTCCTCGCTGCATTGCAAGGGAAAACATCCAGTGTGATGTATATGAAAACATGTGGCCTGATCGACAAGAACGACTGGACTGAATGTGGTGTATACTGTATTGGTGTTGCCTTTTTTTTTTTTTTTTTTTTACATTGCTTTGTTTTTGCAGTGATTTGTTAGCTTGGTATATTTTATTCTCTGATTTGAAATAACTTTTCAATAGATAACAAGTTTTATGTTTTGATGGAGGTAATTGATTTTGTTTCATGTATTTAATGTTTTGAGTCTTTATGCATTTTGCAAATTAAATGTGTTATTTTGGCCAACGTGTTTCAGTTTGGGGCTGCATGGTAATTGTTTAGAAAAAGTTAATTCTGTTTGGACAAGTTTTCTCAAGAAATCGAGAAACTGTAATTCGCTACATTGCTATGTTATTAGAGAAGAACTATGATATTTAAGTAAATGCGTTGATATTGAGTCTCTCTTTCTCTCCACAGTACTCTGTGCAGCCCAGCATTCAGCCCAGCCTGAGACTCGGCAGGTGAAAGGCATCGTGGGAAAGTTTCTCTCTTTTCCAGTGAGGGTGTTGAAGTCTGGCAATTTACTTTATGGAGACCTTGGCAATATTGCACAGGTGTACCCTGGTAAACAAAGTAATACCAACCTTGTGAAGAGATTTAAATACCGCCTTCACTGGAACAATGTTACTGGATTCTTCACTTTGTCAGACCTACAAATAGAGGATTCTGGGGTTTATACCATGGAGAATTTTGATTAAGTTGAAGAGAAGACGACACATACATTTCAGCTGACTGTGTACTGTAAGTGTGTGTGTGTGGGTGTGTGTGTGTTGTAAATGACAAAATCATTAAAGTGGCAATCAGCAGCAGAAACGTTAATAAAGCGTTCTCCCCGCCCCTAGTTCTGTAAAAAGCTGAGGGATAGGGCTGGAGAAATGTAACAACTCTCAAATTCATAGACAGAGCTATGGATGCAAGGACTGATCAACAATTATATAAAAATTATAGTTTTAACCATGTTTTGAGACCATATAGTGTTTGTTTACAATTTCTTTGTTTACAAACACCGGAGTAAACAAGCTTATGTGTTCTCTGATGGAGACTAAGCTCATGAGGCACTTATAAGTTATATTCTTCAAGAATCGATGGGTACATATAATTAATTTATAAGTCAAAAAATTGATGGAGCAGCTGCTCTTTGCCTCTTTACAGATACAGTGGGTATAGAAAGTCACCAGCCCCTTTCAGAATATTCATATTTTGTTGCCTCACAGCCTGAAATGAAAACACATAATATGTGCACACAGTAACCCACAATATCCAAGTGGGAAGAAAAAATCTAACCCCCCCACCTTAGAATTGCAATTGCAAACTTGCTGAGGCATAACCAACCACCTTCCAGATCACAAATCAAGCTAATTGGCTTCCATCTATGATCAATTGTAGTGACTTTGATTAGTTCAGAATAAAAGCAGTTGTTCATAGAGGACTCCACTGCTTAGTAGTGCAAATCAAAGCAAAGAATCCACTATGGGCGGAAAGGTACTTTCAAAAGATTTAAGAGATAGATTCGTGGAAAGGCACAAGTCAGGGATGGCTATAAAAAGATTTCAAAGGCTTTGTCTATCCCTCGGAGCACAGTTAAGACCATTATTAAGAAGTGGAAGGCGTATGGCACCACCCAGACCCTGCATTGATCAGGCCGTTCCTCCAAACTGGATGACCGGGCAAGGAGACTGATTAGAGAGGCTACCAAGAAGCCAGTAGCTTTTGAAGGAGCTTCAGGCCTTTATGGCAAGGATTGGTCAATGTGGGAATGTGACCACACAATCACAAGCGCTCTACAAATCTGGCCTCTATGGGAGGCTGGCAAGAAGAGAAAAAAAACTGCTAAAAAAAAGCCACATCAAGTCTCGTTTGAGCTTTGCCAAAAAGCACATTGTAGATTCCGAGGACAAGTGAAATCTTTCCACCCAAAGAACACCGTGCCTACAGTAAAGCACGGCGGTGGCAGCATTCTGGTGTGGGAGTGTTTCTCTTCAGCAGGGACTGGAGCACTTGTCAGGATAGAAGGGAAAATGGAGAGTGCAAAATACTGACAGATTATTGAGGAGAACCTGTAGCCCTCTGCCAGGAAGTTGAAAATGGGAAGATGGTTCATGTTTCAACATGACAATGACCCAAAGCACACCGCCAAAGTAACAGTACAGTGGCTGAAGGACAGGAAGGTGAATATCCTTGAGTGGCCTATTCAGAGCCCCGACCTAAATCCCATCGATGTGGAATGAATTGAAGAGTGCAGTCCATGAGTGGTCATCATTCAATTTGACTGAATTTGAACAATTCTGCAAGGAAGAATGGGCGAATATTGAATAGTCTAGGTGTGCAAAGTTGGTAGAGACGTATTCAAGGAGAATCATGGCTGTAATTCAAGCAAAAGGTGGTTCCACCAAGTATTAACTCAGGGTGGTGTTCACTTATACAAATTGGGTATTTTACTGTTTTAATTTTAAATAATTATCAGAGTTTTGTGGATTATTTTTTTTACTTGGATATTTTGGGTTACTGTGTATAAATAAAGCCGGAAAATCTAATTGTATGTTTTTTCATTTCAGGCTGTAAGGCAACAAAAGGTGAACATTTTGAAAGGGGGTGGTGACTTTCTATACCCATTTCACCAATTCCCATTTTTTCATTATTTGTCTTCCAGATGTTCTGTCCAAACCTCAGGTGACGGTCCATGACAACAGCTCCTGTAGCATGGTGTGTTCTGTGGAGAACGGGAGAGATGTGACCCTGTCCTGGTACAGAGGAGGGAAGCTACTAAACCAGAGCAGCAGCCCTGACCTCAAAATCACCCTCTCTCTACCTCTCAAGGTGGATGAACAGAACAGAGACTCTTACAGATGTGAGGCTGCCAACCCAGTCAGCAAGGAGACCACTGTTGTTCCATATTCCTGTATAGAGAGTGATCCCTCCAAGGTGGCAGGTACAAAAAAAACATGTGCAGTAGCAATGTTAAATTGCTGATATCCAGACAATATCAAATTCACTACGAAACAATAAGTATGGTAGAGGTCATTTTATGAAACACAATGTTTAAATTAAAATATTGTTTTCTCTCTTTTTATTTTAGATGGTGATGAGAGGACTCGAGGTTGTCTTATTATTGCTGTAATCTGCGTTTTGGTTGCCTCAGGACTTGTTGGACTTGCAATCTATCTAAAGAAGGGTAGAAATGGACACTCACATGGCAGGTATTTATCTTTTAGCGGGGTGAGGTCATTCTCCTTGTCAAAGTCAAACCTTTTTCAATTATCAAGGATAGTGTTTTGGAAAAGGTAGAACATTTTTGTCTGAACAACGGATGCAGGTCAAATGAAGTGGCATATCTTCCACACTTCCTCTGCTTGGTCAGACAGTTACATTATCTCAGACCACTTCTCTAAATGTTGAAAAAGCAGAAGGCACATATACACAAGCACACTCTGACAATGATTACTTTATAGCTTCTATGGCGCCAAAAGGATTGCTAACACAGACACAGATATCCATAGTAACATAAGTCCTTAGTGTTTGCAGTACCTGTCTTGGGGGTGAGCATTTGTGCATATCTATCAGTTACTCCCACCCACATTGTATATTTCATTTCCTTTATTTGCCTTTATAGATTCACCCGGAAGAAAGCAAGATTACATTCAGTACACAGCCATAACTCACATTAAACCAGCAGATAACCAGGTTAGTGATAATGCTACAGGCTGATAAACATAGGAGACGTAATACAGCAGCTTTTGCAGCACTCATGGCTACAACTATAGGATTTAGTTCTGTGCCAGTGGGTTAATGTGGTATTGAGTTGCACAGACAACCTGAGTTAAATAACCTGCCTGATGTCATTGCAACCAGTTTTGCCCATATTATATGGTTGGGTTGCATAATGAGAAGCCACACAGCACATATTGTATTTACACTGAACAAAAATATAAATGCAACAGGTAGTGTTGGTCCCATGTTTCATGAGCTGAAATAAAAGATCCCAGAAATGTTCCATATGCACATGAAGCTTATTTATCTCAAATGTTGTGCACTAATTTATTTACATCAGTGCATTTCTCATTTGCCAAGATAATCCACCCACCTGACAAGTGTGAAATGTCAAGAAGCTGAATAAACAGTATGGTCATTACACAGGAGCACCTTGTGCTGGGGACAATAAAAGGCCACTCTAAAATGTGTAGTTTTGTCATACAACACAATGCCTAAAATGTCTCAAGTTTTGAGGTAGCGTGCAATTGGCTTGCTGACTGCAGGAATGTCCACCAGAGCTGTTGCCAGATAATTTAATGTTAATTTCTCTACCATAAGCCGCCTCCAACATAGTTTTAGAGAATTTGGCAGTACGTCCAACCTGCCTCAGGAGTATTTCTGTCTGTGAAAAAGCCCTTTTGTGGGGAAAAACTCATTCTCATTTTCTGGGCCTGGCTTTCGCGTGGGTGGACCTAACTCAGTAAAATCTTTGAAATTGTTGCATGTTGCATTCATATTTTTGTTCAGTATAGTAATGCCTCTGATCTTCCCGTGTCTTGAACAGTATTTGTCAAGTCTGTGGACTTTTAAGCTTGGCTTCTTGGTTCCTCCCACTACCTTTAGGAATGGTTCTAGATGTGTGTTGTGTTGACTGTTGAGTTGCCTACTGCAGATCAATGAGACAAAGTATCTAATAATGAAACATATTGCTATTTTTTTATTTGTCTTATTTTTTTGATTTCCTACACCTTTTCTCGCCCCTCCCCTCCCTGCCCCTCTTTCCTTGTCCCTCTCAATCCTTCCCTCCCTAACTCCTTCCCTCTCCCTGTCTAGGAGGAGCGAACAGCTATACCAGAACTGGATCCGCTTAGAGACAACCCTAACCTGACATCCGTTTATTATCACAGTTATATCGCATGGCGAACAGCGATGACGTTGACACTGCATGAAAGAGAGAGAGAACCGGAAGTTACTGAGAGGGTGACATGATAATTCACATCCAAGAGAAGGTTAAGACAAAATTATAGTAAATATTCATCTAGAAAACATAATGGAGGCATAGTTGTTACTGGAGAAAATTCCCATTTAACCATTGCACTGTTGTTATTTCAGACTTCCTTTGTTGGTCATTCTCAGTCTTTTGTTGAATTGGGGCCTTGATGAGATTCACTGACACAGACAAATTCAATAGCTATGCCTAGGGTTTTTAATAGGATTATCCCTCTTTTCAAGTGCACATTGTCCCAATTTATAGGTTAAAACAAATGGAATCTATCTTTTAATCCTTTCACTAGTGTGTTTGCTATGCTACTGCTGGGCCAAAGATTATTTTCAGTACTGTCTGTTTTGTTGTTTAAATGTAGGTGCCTCCCCTGTATCTTTTTATAGCTGGTCATTGTTAGTTTACCAGTGGATAGCAGCTGTGTACGTATCATAAAAAGCAGATGTTTGGTGAGATAAAGTCACATATTCCTTAGAGGCAATGGCTGTTAGGCTACGTTGGAAACAAAAAGTCAACAAGTTAATTTTTTCCTTTCACCATGTAGATCCTATTGAAACATTTCTGAGGGGTAGGTCTTTATTTGCCTTTTGACTCAGGAAGTGATCTTTGGTGACATTTTACTCATTTATTTTCACAAAATGCAGAAATGAGTGTAGTTCAGGTCTTGCTTTGACAACAACTGCGTTCATGCAGTTTGAATGTACAAAATTAACAGTTTAGTTTATTATGATGCACCATTTATTGCTTTTCCTTGTCTAAACAGTATGTAGCTCATCATCTCTTAATAATACAATCACTCCCTCCTGCACGCTCCTGCAGACACTCCTTCTATTACAGCATCTTGTGCTCCAACTACATTAGCCCACATATATAACTGTGAAAAAATACCAAATCTACTGACAGCCTCCAGTGTAACAACTCACGATGGTATTTCGTTTTTATACATTTCTATTTCAGAGTAGTTACTGAGACTGAATATAATATATTAATATATTATATTAAGATAATATAATTCACATTTCACTATTCTAAAATAAGCTTATGACTTATTCAAACTGATAAAGTGTACTGAGCTTCTTTTTTTGTACTGAGCTTCAATATATTAAGTCAGACTTACCCCTACATTCCATACATTTCCTAATGTTAAATGGTCGTCAATCCCCCATACATGCTTGAAAAATATACTTACCTTATCACAACCCAAAATATGATTTAAGTTTACTCCATTGTTTATATTTTTGTTGTCATTTGAGTTTTTGTAAACAAAGAGTGTATTACTACAATAACTTTTGAAAACTGTTAGTCTTTGCATCCATAGCTGCAGTCAAGAGTTTGAGATTGGCACAATTTCTCCAGATTCTGGTTTTAAAGTTTGACCTAGATAGTTTGTGTTTATGTATTGATATGTAGGCTACGTGTGCCTTTTTTTTGTTGTTGATGTTATTCTGTCATTGAGCTGTTCTTGTCTATTAATGTGCTCTGTATTTTGTCATGTTTGGTGTGGACCCCAGGAAGAGTAGCTGCTGCTTTTGCAAAAGCTAATGGGGATCCTAATAAAATACCAAATACCAAATGTAGCCTACTTCTAGGGTCAAACTAGGAGGGACCACTGTAATTGTTTGGTGGTTTTCAAGTGTGTTTCTCTATTTGAGTTTAAGTGTATTTGGGACGTTTTGTCCAGTTACTTTTAATGCCAGGCAGCTGTACATTTCTAATTTGAAAAGAATGATGACGAATCCTATTAAAGTTCAAGCATTGCTTTCAAGGAAACAATGTTTTTCTTCTAATGTATTTCCCCATCTAGTGGTTGATCGTTTTTATCATCTAGTTGTTGAATGGTTTCATATTTCAGCATACTGTACTGTGCATACTACACTATTTTGTACTCTGAGCCAGTGTGCTGTATATTGTAAGTGTAACTTAAATCATTTGTCAGCTAAATGTTCTCATACCTTTCTATGCTTTTACGTTTGGACTGTGGTCATGCATTCTTGTGCCAATTGATATTTTATATAAAAACATGTCTTGTAAATTATGTTATTTTTAATTGCATTTGGTCAGAAAATATGAGTGCCTCATTTATCATTCTGTGCAAATTCAGATTGTTCAATGTTGGGAGTTCAGTGTTTTGTTACAGGAAATTAGTATCAAACCCAGATTAGCCATACAGTCTTTCAGTCTGCAGCAGCATGGACAAGGTGGTGAGTACCTTTATATTTTCACTTTGATTTCTGATCTATAGCATTATGGTCAATATGAACAACTCCTTTTGGCTGCCCCTAAAACAAAGATGTTTCTGCAGCCCACACTGACAACCCCTCCTTCTTGTGCATAGGTTTCTGGGTGTTCAACTTTTTCATCAGAAACCAGCCCATATGTATAATTAATGAAGTGTATAAAATATATTTAGTGAACAAAGTGTAAACCAAATTAAGTAGAGCCTATACGTTGTGAATAATGTATTAATATCATCAAGGAACTCAGGGAACAGACAAGACAACAAGATTCAGATTGGGGGACATTCTATAGGCCTAATATAGGAGAGCTGGCAGAACAGTCGTCCTGTACTAAAATGTAAACGTTTCATCTTAATATTGATTAATTTAATGAAGATACCGTGCAAATAATTGTCTTACAAACTTTCAGATAAAGTGGTCTGACATATCATCACCATCTATAAATGTTATATTCAACACACACTCTCAATTTTACATCTCCTCTTCTCTCCATCTGTATTCTCCACAGTATAACCCCAGAATCTTCTATCTGAAAGACACAGAGTAGATCTCTCTGCACAGAGTAGATAACTTAGATATCTCAGGATCAACACAGTTGTCACAAAGTACAGTATATATTATATACGTAAGCTACAACATTTAGAGTCTGTTTTTTCCAGTTTAAACACCCAAAAACTGCAGTCTTTTTTGCTCATGCTACATCACTCGTCTTGAAACTAACTGCAGCATTTTCACCCATCTCACTTGTCTGCCCATGACCTATTTAACAAAGCACATTACCTGTTCCTCAACCACTCGTCTCTCGCTCTACCATCTGGCCCCTACGTGACAGATAGACAATGACCACGTAATCACAGGAAACCACAAACATTTTCTGTTTATAGTGGAGCAGTCTAACTAACCTTTAACATGCAGTGTAAATACATGCCTACTTTGGATGAAATGTATGAGTGAAAAGCTGATCGGTATTACATTTTAATATATTGGTTGGGCATATCCTGCATAGATAGATGCATTGCATTCGGAAAGTATTCAGATCCCTTGACTTTTTCCACATTTTGTTACATTACAGCCTTATTCTGAAATAGATTGAGTCGGTTTTTCCCTCATCAATCTACACACAATACCGCATAAAGACAAAGCAAAAACAGGTTTTTAGAAACTTTGTAAAAACATAAAAACAGAAATACCTTATTTACATAAGTATTCAGACCCTTTGCTATTAGACTTGAAATTGAGCTCAGGTGCATGTTGTTTCCATTGAACTCAATTCTAATGAGAGATGAATCAGTTAACAGTCACAGATACTGTAAATGTGTAGTTTATAATCATTGTTCCACATGTCTGTGAATCAAAACAACCAATCAAGTGTTGTCATACTCTGTAGTTATTGTGCCAGACTGGACTCAATGGACAGATGTTTGGTATTTTATGTAAATCTTTGCACCTCCAATAAGTAATATTGATTATGATGACAGAAGGTTACTTAAGACAGAAATTATAAGAGGAAGGTTGGTTGGGGAGGATGAGTGGGGCGTATATTGCGACCGTCTAGCAATCAAAATGTTGCAATCAACTATAGCATTTTAGCTTACCCTTCCCCTAACCATTATTATAACCTCAACCCAATTCACCTAACCTTTTACGTAAATGATCCTACCTTTGTCGTTAGTTTTACTAAACACTAAAGTAAATTCTCCCCGTAGTTCTCCTTTGTTGTTACAACACAACAAGTAACATGGTCTCAGAGAAAGACATATCATACATCTTGAAGGAAGTATAGTATTATAAGTTACTTATCCAATTTATAAGAACTATGATACTGTCCTCTAGTTTGTGTGATATTATACGACCGCTGTTTCATTCATAATGTAACCTAACATAAAGTAATCGATTATACTAAATGGTGGGGAACAGATTTATATAGTAATCTTATGAATTCCCCTGAGGCCAGGTTGCAGGTACTGTGCAGACAACAACCTTTAAGAGCTTCCTTCTCCCATGAGAGCTCAATTTAAAACCCTATTTACCTCTCTCTCTTTATATATCTTTCTCTCTCTAAAACAGAGTAAAGAGAGGAATGGTTTGCAGTGATGCAAATAAAACACATTATTTCAATACAACAAACCAACAACCTATAGTTAAAATAGTAGGACACATCAATGTTGCAATGAAATTAATTAAATTAAAGTCTATCTACTCAAACTCTGCACCATCTCTCTTATATCAACATAAATAGATTATTCTTTAATTATTATATGATAGACAAAATTAGTTATTTATTAATTATGTTTTGGGAAGGAATATGGAAAACCCTTTCCCCAAATGTTGAATAGGACGCATGACTGACAGCAAGACTAATTCCCCTATCTGGACTAGGACTACCCTAATCAATTAAGAATCGATATCGTATGCCTATGCAATGTCCTTTCATTTTAATTATATTATTAGGACATACAGGACTACATTTAAGGTTTATGTGTAGTGGTAAAATAGGCTACTGGTATGTTGAGCACAAATAGTTGCTCTAACATAATTTCCATAATGTTAGGCTTTTATTTTACACAATTTATATAAAATCAGTCATTTATATTTCATAGTAGTTATTGCAATCAATAAACCAAATGCACATCATTTAAGTAAATAAAAGTAAACATAGGCCTACATACCAACAAGACATACCAGCCTCAACTTAACTTTAGCCCTCCAT